GAGAAATTAGCGAGAAATTAGCGAGACATTAGCGAGAAATTAGGGAGAAATTAGCGAGCATCTCACCCTCCCCTCCCCCATCCCCACGCTCTCGCAAAATAACCGCAAAATAATCCCTACGAAATCCCAATATAATCGCTAATAAACCGCAAACGGAACAAGCTGAATCACTAATCCGCTCGCAAAATAAGCGCAAGGAAATCACTAATTAATTGTTTGGTGGTGGTCTCAATATTTACAGGGTCTGAAGGTCACAAAGCTAGCAGCTACCAGAGTATGTAGCAGGTGTACAAGCATGGGGTTTCGGGCACCCATACGTGATCATTGGTCTACAAGTCAAACCATGTGCACGGAAACATATGTACCTCACTGCCTATCTACGAGGATACTCATCTGTTTACCTTGTTCTTACTCGTCACTCTGCATCAGGACTTGGTTCGAAGCCCAGGATTTCAGCGGTGATGCTGCGGTTGGAAGCTGTTTATGGCTTCACGGCGGCCTACACAAACAACATTGAGACTGTTGTTCGGGCAGGGAATGCTTTTTGATGTGCTTGTGCAGAGGTGAGCTTCGGCTTTCGGGGGTGAGGCAGAGACTGCTATCGTGGACGAATACATAGAGTTTTGTTCAGCAAACTTATCTGCGAAGCCTGCATATCGCATGCAAGAGATTCAAGAGTCCACTGAAATTTGGCGACTTCGCTTTGGAGATGAAACAACAAACTCAACGCAGGTGGGTACGCAACCCATTGCTGTCCGACTGCCCGCAGGACGAAGATTTTTTGCTGCAAGCATTTCTGGCTTGTCGGTTTGTGGTCAATGTCTGGGCTTGCTTCGGGACTCGTCGAGCATTCGACAATCTTGCCTCTTTTCCCTCATCGCTCTCCCTTGTCTCCTCGCAAGATTCTTTACGGCAAAAGAAACTTGCAGCTGTTGTCCAATTGCGCTGAAAACCTAAACCTTTCTATGCTTTTGGCCCCGCAGTTTGAGACAAGGTTCTTTCGGGTCGCCGCGCCGAAGAGCCAAGGCCGTAGACAGCACGTCACCTGTTTCCTTGTAGATGGGATTCACCCGCTTGGAGCCCCGTGCTCTGCCCGGATTGTAAATGAAGCCGGTGAAGTTCTCATGGAAGGCAGAGCTGGCATTCATGGCGCTCCAAACGGCCGTTCTGAACTGCATGAAGGCAACGTGATGGGTTTTAACCGCGTGCCAGGATGCTTTGACCTCCACGAGCTCAGCCGTGTGACCCGCCGATGCATCCATGATGTCAACGAAAGAGTTCGTCTTGCACCCGATGAGCTCGCATGCCTGCGCCGGAAGGCTTTGGTGAGCATGCCCCTGATTGAAAACGATTCGCCATAACACAGGGAACTGTGCCACATTTGCTAAATCTGCGGCATGGCAAAGGATATCATTCTACAGTATGCTCGCAATTAGCTAATTTGCAGTTCATCTGATAATCTGAAGCCAAGCCACGAGCAAGCAAGAAAACAAACCCACCGCGGCATGCATCGCAGGTGAATGTCATGGAGGCAAGAGGCTGATGTGAAAACGGCCAAACCCCACACGAGTCTGGAAACATGACACAAAGACAACTGTACCTCTACGATCTTCGACAGCAGCCTCTGTAACCCGATGACGGACGGCACTTTGCACAAACTTGAACCCAGGAACCCTCACTGTCGAAACGTGCCTTCTTCCAGGTGTGGGTGAAAAAAGATGCTTCCAGCAAGTGCAGCCTGGAGTGGTCTTTGAGAGCTTGCACCGTCCTGGCAGATGCCCGCAGCGTGTGGAGGACCGCGGACACAGCCCGGCCGTAGCGCTCGCCTTGCTCAGCGGCTGCCTCGCTCTCGGCTTTGAGTTGCAGCAAAGCTGTGGGCCCCGGAGGGGCGGGCAGCGCTCCAGGGAACTCCAAACTTTGCTCTTCACCGTCACAGAGATCCGGCATGTAGGGGAGGCCCATGAAAGCCTCGATGGCAAACTCCTCGTAGTGGTCCTCCACCTCTTTTGCGACTTCAAGGTACGTGGCCATGCGACCAGGAGTGATGATGTGAGGGTGGGCTTCCGCTGCCCTCTCCAACAGACAGGTTGGTTGTCTTTTTCATGCAGACGAGCAACCACTCAGGGCCCGTGGGGCAAAGGTCCCGTTGCTCTTTTGTCAACATTGCGTTCAGCTCCTCCAACCAGTCGACTGAAAGCTCTGAGAGCTTCTCCGCCGAGGGGACCTCGATGGGATCCGCCGATCCCAGCGGTGCCTCCATGTGGTAAATCTCCTGGCCGAAGTACTCGGCAATATCGACGAATGCTGAAATTGCGGAAGCCAGCAACGGGCCACCTTCAGTCTCGCGGAGGCGCCGGGCAGTCTCAATGACCGCCAGTGAGGGCGTGAAGTTGTCGCCTTCTTCCTGGCAGATGCTCCGCCCTTCGTCCTCGGAAGTCTCGTTGAAGAAGACATCATCATACTCTTCTCCAGTTACCGAGTCTTTTGCACGAAAGCGGGTGACCTCCAGGGAGGAAGCAGGTGGAAGCTCCGGAAGCTGCAGGTGCATGTTATGTCCATTTCCCCACCAACTTTCCCACTTCACCTCTACTATATACCACTCCGCTCCTGCTAACACCTGTTCCACTCAACTCCACTTTAATCCACTGCTGGTCTTCGGCTCCTACTCACCCCACTCTGCCCGCCCTTCACGGTGTCGCCCGTTCCTATGTGCCTCCCATGCGTTCCCTGTTTGCAGGAGCAACATACGGAGAGTACATGCATAACTACACGGTCTCTTCACCCACATGATAGCAAAAATGCAGTCTCTTCAAGTCAAATGCAGCCGACTGCAGTGCCGCAGATGTGTCCATTGAGGCTTTGCCAGGCTATGACCTGTTTTTTGCACGCACGTGTTCCCCTTCTGACCAGGTTCAGTTCCCGCTTTGGCTTCTTATGAATAGAGTTATGAGGGTGTCATTGCAGGGGTGGTGGTGCTGCTGAGTCAATGGCAGAAGTTGCGACTTGTGGCAAAAAAGGACACGTCCCAGAATATCCCGAACAGTTCAAAGCCCTGACCTCAACTCGGCTCAGTCCGTCTCCTCCTTCGCGGGCTAGGCCCAGCATGTACTGGATCTCCTGCACACGTATTTACCCAAGCGTATTGAATAAAGTAGAAGCTCGCGGAGCACGTAAAGTATACGAGCAAAGGCCTCCTCTGACAGCCGCTGATATTGCTCGCCCCTCGAGACAGACAGCCGAAGCGAGAGCAGCGACAGAGGCAGGTTCCACTAGTACTTGCAAAGTGGCCTGGTGTCGTGGCAAGGGACGACTGGATGGCTGAGCCTCAGGGCATTCCCAGAGCTGTAAGCCGACGCTCGCGCACTGCGCACTGAGGTTTGGATGAATGGGGCGAGGGGCGAACGGCTGCTTCAAGGGAACTGCTCTTCGCGCCCTCACCGAATTCCAGGAGGGCAGTGCACAAAAGCACCTCAGTGGGCGGCGGAGGTGTAGAAGATTTCTGAGGAAACTGCTATCTCTGAACATGAAAATCGCCCAACTGCTACCAAGTAGCCTGCTTCATTAGGAGCTGCATGGACATGCACAGCCGTATGCACACTCAAATGGGACTCTATAGGGACTCTAGGGCCTCTAGTCTGCAAAAAATGCGGCGGTGGTTCAGCAAGTCTCCAGACACACTCAACAACCAATATAGCAAATGTGACAAGTAGACTTTGCCTGGCGCAGGCCACAAAAGATTCGATTCACAATGACCCGGCACCGCGAACCTCGTCAAAAGCAGCTCGTCCGACCTCAGAGCTGGATCCCATCATCTTCCAACCTCCTCACGCTTAGAACTGGCGCTTGTGCGATTCTGCATCGCGGTCATGGTCGACGCCACTAGCTCGAGGGAGGAAGGATTCTCTGGCACGTCAGTACACTGTTAGTGCAAAGATCTGCGGACTGAGCGACGCCGGCAAACATGGTTCACCTACTCAGTGCCAGTTTAATCACACACGGTTTAACAAAAGCAGCAGCCAGCGTAGTCGCGTTGGTGGAATGAGGGTAGCGACAGTGGAAAGGATCTTCATCTTCGTCGGGCTCATACTTTTTGTGCTCGTTGTTCTTCGATAGCTTCATTCGAAGAGTTTGAAGATATCTCGAAAAGGCAGCATTCGAATCTGGCGCCCAAGCAAACATACCAAGCCTCGGGCGATCAGCCTGATCCCGTCTCTCGAGCCACTTTGGGCTCGCCCTCCGCATCAGAGCCGACAGGAAGCACCAAGCCACAGCAAAGACATAAATTCAAGTAGCTTGAAGGACTCGACGAGGGAGCTCAGGCGGGAAGTATGCGGCCCGAAAGCGTGAGAAAGTGTCAGCGCCATCCACCGTGGCTGTGGCAGCAAAAGACTGACCATGTCAAACCCTCTTTCTTGGGAAGGGCTTCAAGCTGAAATCCGCCGATCCCCTGCTGTTTGACTGCGTTTTCCGGGCTCCTCTTAGCACCAGTAGGTCGTCGCACTGACAGGCAACTCCAGATTTGCGAGGCTGTCAATGCTCTCAATGCAGAAGTCATGGTAAACTGCTTCGAGGTCAACCATAGGCAGTGCTCGCAGCAACGCTTTTACATCGTTGCAAGTTTTCGAGAAAACTTTTGTTGCTGGGACACTGTGGAGTTTTGGACCAAAGCATTGGAATCCTCCAGCCTTTCTCTTACCCGAAGCTTGCGGCATCAGGTCTCACCCTGCGTAACAGTGTTCTGCGCACGTTAACAGCTGTGCTGTTGGGTTGGGAAGTGAAACGGCGAGACCCAGCCTGAGTCGTGAAGTTCGCGCGGCACTAAACTTTGGCCGCACACAGGAAGCAGACCACTGACGGTCTTGGAAATCGGTCTAGACCACTGCTCTCACTGCCGAGGTGGTTTTGTTGTTGATCCGCTTCTCTCCGCTTCTGCAGGGACACAGCTGCAGTGGGGGCCGCAGGTGAGCAGTCCCAGATCAACTGCACATGAGCTCCGACAAACACACGATCTATCGCTTGTCTCCTATGTTCAAGAGGCCTGGGCATCTGCCTGGAGCTCTTTCAGCTTCTTGAGCTCTGCCAGCGAGGAGACAGAAGAGACGAGAGAGATTGCGGGCGAGAGGGAAAGAGAAAGATATTGCAAGAGAGAGAGAGAGACTACTGTTCTTGTGTGTGCGTGCGGCACAATGGCCACAGATCCCCAGCACGACTTGCTGGAAGCAAGGTTTCTACAGAGACTGGACCTGCGAGCGCACATTCGCGCTGTAGAAACACCAGACATACAGCTCTCATCGAGATTTTTCTGACAGCTGAAACAACCCGTGAGCGTCGAAAAGAATCCCCAAGGGACCCCCCGAACCCTTTAGGCACATAGTTTTGTCGCCTTTCTTCCGCCTGCCCCCAGGCACCCGCAGCTCTCAATTGAAAAGAAAATGATTCTTTTCCGCGACATGAGACAAAGCGCGGTCCCTTGCAGCGCGGCTCGGAGGCGAATTCGGGATTGAAACGCGAAGAAGCAAAGGGGCCATAGGGGTTCTCGATGACAACGAGCAGCCGAGGTTCTCGCATACAATGCAGCAATCAGTGCATGCGAAAGTGAGGGGTTGTGGGAGTACGCTTTACCTGGTTGCCCAAGGGCAGTGTGGTGTATAATACTCTGATATTCAAACATCTTCACACCCGGACACGGGAGCTTGAACCCAGGCTGAACTGTCGGCGGAGGGCTTCCAAGCGGACATCCCTTACAGCACAGCGACTCTGGCGCTGCAAGCATGGACGCTTCGTATGGAGCTCCGTGCCCACGTTGCCTGTTGTGTTTGTTTTGTGCATGCAGTCTCAGGATTGGGGCCTGTGCCAAAGCCGGGAATTGCCAGTGGGCGTTGCAGCTGTTTGCGATGCTGAAACGCGACGGCTTGCGGTGGAATGTCGTCACCTGCAACTTATTGAATCAGCGGCTAATCAGCGCGTGTGACTGTAAAACCCCCTCAACCCTGAAGCCTAAACTCCTGAAACCTATGTCAGCCTACGATGCCTACGCGCATACGCGTGTTGCACTCAGGTCTCTTCAACAACCTGAGCCTTTTTTGCATCCGGGTTCTTGTCGCCGGGTAGAAACCCCAAAACCCTAGCTATCCCTCAACCCTTATCTGTAGACCCCGTGATTCTCCCTGAACTCTTAAGCCCGAATCCTCAGCCAATTACACAAGCCCCAAACCTTAAGACCTGAACACCCCGAAACCCAGCATCCTAAACTCCCAAGCTACACCCCTCGTAGACCGAGTAGACTCACACCCTAAACTCAGCTTAAATGCTAGACCCCCAAGTTCTGGTTGAAACTGGGCGGGTTCAGGAGCGCCCAAACTAAGCTTAAACCCAAAGAGACGCAATCCCAAATTCTGCGCCTTCAACCTTGAAGCCCAAACGCATCCACCCCCTTTATTGAACTCCGAAACCTGAGGGCCATGTAATCATACACGCAAGCCACAACCACAAGCCGGCAAGCCGAACAAGAAAATTGAACGTCAACCTACAGTACAACTCTTTGTCTGCCCTTTTCTTGCATCCGGGCTCATCCCTGCACCACTTCCCCCGTCCTGAAACCACAAATTTCACCAACCTGAAACCCCAAACCGCCAACTTTAAACTGAGCGAGATCCCCCGAAAGAAACAAAAAAACACTAACAAACAGACCCAGCAGGGTTGTCCCTGACATTTTCCTCGAGCACTGTCGAGCATTTGTTGCCGTCAGCGTCGGCGACGCCATTCGCTGCCGTCCGGGAATCGGAGCCCTGGCAGCCCTACCACGAAGTGTAGGAAGTAGAGCAACGAGAGTTTATTTTAGCGTTTAGCTGCGGATTGAGGCTTCGGGGTTCGGGGTGTAGGTTTAAGGCAGAGCTTTAGCGGGCAAAATCTGCGATTTCGTGTTGGTGATATGATATAGGAGCCGCACCAATTAGCATAGGATTGTGGGGTGTACATCTCTTATTGTGACGGAATAGGGCGGGCCCTGAACAGACTAGTTTAGATGCTATGTCAGTGCACCAACTCCAGCTGATACAAAACAGCTACAAGTTCAGGGATTCCAAACGGGGGTATGCTCACACACAACACAAACAGTAAGAACAAGATCTCCAACACATATTCACTGCGGCCTTTTCGTCACACTCGTCAGTACGCCTGGTGCATATCTAGTTTCCGCAAGGCGTGTGCCCATGGCATAGAAGACCGATGAAGGCGTATTGAGGCTTCATAGCCTCCTGTGCACACCCCTATGTTTCTGCCGAAAAGCTGCGGCGCTGCTGCTGAGCTCGGAAGCTCTGCCTAGCACCTTGTCCCCACGCACAGATCGTCACAGTGTGGCGGCACGGAATTAAACAAAGGCTGAAAGCCATCTGCACACGAAGGATCTCGAGCTTTGTCGATGAGCCTGCTGGGGCATGAAGCCCTTTCCACATTAGCCGTTCAACGTGGCTTACCTGCTGCTTAGGACTGGCCTGGACACAGCACGAAGCAGCAATCCACACAAACCCTAACTGGCTGCAGGTAGCCAAGGATCGACAGTGGCAATCGCTGGAGGCTGCAAGAGTTGCAAAGCAGGCGCCCGCATGCACGACAGTGATGCCGCCGCCGCACGCAGGTGAAGGTGACGGAGCAAGACTGGCAATTCAAGCCGCCATTAGCCACCCAAGTTGGTGCCATCAAACTCCCAAAGGAGGTGCCGGCGCTGGTGAAGGAGCTTTGGGAGTTTGCCTTCGGTGTAGCGTCCAGGGACATCGTCTCGAGTGCCAGTGGCGGTAGTGCTAACAGCGCCTGCATGAAGGCTTTCTGGTCCAAGTCGCAATCTTTCACGATATCTTCAGAGATGGCCCAAGCACGCTCCGTATTCTCGTCTTGAAGAGCTTGGACCAGTGCTGCGAACTCGGCGTGGGAGATGCCATCCACCCCACTTCCTTGGCCCAGCATCATCAACAGCGTGGTGACGCGATCACTGAGTGTATCTTCCAGAAGCAAAGCCAGGCTGATAAGGGCCTGCTTCTGAAGTACCCGGCCCGTCTTGGCCAAATCCAAATCCGAAAACAAAGCTGAGAAGAACGCCGAGGCCGTGGACCCTTCCAAGGCCAAGGTCCCCAGCTGAGCGACGAACTCCCCCTCCGTGACCTGCACGTCACCGACTTGGGTGCAAAGCGTCCGGACGTTGGCGAGCAGCTTCGGCACAGCTCCGCCGGCCTGCCTGCGAAAGCGTGCCGCAGCACTGCGGCTTCGGCGCGCCCGGGCTTCGGCCGCACGCTGACGGACGCGGTCCTCAGCTGCCTGGATGGCCTCCTGGATCGCCACATCGGAGATAGTCAAGGCACTGTACTCCGCCGCCGCCACCAAGGTCTTGGCATCGTACGTAGCCTGGAAGCACTTCTGCAATGCATGGAGAAACACTGACACCTCAACCGCTGCTTGTCTTGGACTGGGCAGGACCTTCAAGTCCACTTCTAGGACGAAAGCGGCCAGGATCCGGAGCATCAGTATCCGCGGATTTGGTGCAGCCAGTACTGCCTGCCAGCACTGCAGGGCTGCATCGATTGGCAAGCCACAGCCCGCCAGCAGTGTGCATAACGGCTTGGAGTAGAGCAGCGTTGGCGAATAGCCTCGCAATGCTCTGAGTGCGGCAGCTCCTTTGGGATCCAGCTGGCCAAGAAGCCAATCAATGCAGTCTGAGTCCACCAAAACTCCCTGCAAAGACCCGCCCTTCAAGAAGTGACCGGCCAACCGCTCAGAAAGGGCGGCTAGGCACCAGAAAGCATCGTCCCTTGGCATAACAGAGCAGAGAGCGGCTGCAGTGAAATTCAAGCCCTGCGTGTAGCCTGCGTCCGTGTTCCGGGCACAGCAAAGCATACGTAGGACGTCCCGCACTGCCATTTGCAGTGCGGCCTCCCGTGGGTGACCCGGGAATGTCCGGTGCATGTCCAGCTCGATCTCTTCGGCGATGCACCGCGCTCGTTGCACCTCCTTCCGCTTTTGCGCGGTGTCTGGCCCACGTGGTGCGACACCGGAGAGCCAGCGCAAGCCCAGCAAGTAGTTCTTCTCCTTCATGCCCGACAGGACCACATCCCCGAGAAGCCAACTCCTGAAGCCGCCTTGGGCTTGCACCTCCTCCACCCAGGCCTGCCGGCCGCCGCTGGTCGTCCATGCACGGTGGGCCTCGGAATCCTCTACAGGAAAGAGCCACTCATCCAAGTATTCGTAAAATCGGAAGCTTGGTGCCCACGTGGATGCCCGAGATCGCTCCGAGATCTCGAGCCCGGAGGTCTCCAACGTCCGACCGGGCAACCGGAGCTCAGGCACGGCCTGGAGGGCCCCAGCGGTGGAGCTCACGCTCCGTGGTCGGTTCACGGCCATGGCTGTCGCATTCCAGGAAGGCAGCCAGCGAGGACATACGGTTCGACGATAGCCACAGGAGCACTAAACAAGCATGAAGTCTTGGAGTGGTACTTAAATGCTGTTAGCATTTAAAAAAGAGCTCTTACAGTTCCTGACGAGATGCAGCAGGCAGCGCACGTGAACCCCGCAAATGTGAAATCCAACTCACGGCAGGACTCACAGTTAATGGTTTCGATTGTGTCCCTGAAGCGTCTAGGGGCTAAGTGCTGAGATCCTTCAAGATCGAACTCGGTGCCTGCAAGCGCCAACCCAAGCCCAAACCGTCGAGTCAACTTCCACACCATCAGTTCCTGAACCGTCCGCAGCTCATCCTTCGACCGTCACAACCCAAAGTCAAGGCTGGGACTTCAATCGAAAACCAGGCCCTGGTTCCCGAGCTCTGCGGAACCTAAGCCTGGCACCCAGGTCGCGATCAATTCAGAGGGCCCTCCTCGTGGGCTGGGAGGTTTCGTTGTTCGGGCTTTTGGCGCTTACACTCGGACAGGTGAAGGCAAGCTTTGAAGGCCAAGGCTGCAGAGTTCTGCAGCTCCTTCTGAGGGGGGGGAAATCGGACATGCCAAGTCTTCTAAAGTCCAAAACCTCATGCGAAATATTGGACCACTAGAACTATTTTCTGTCCGCTCAGAAGCAGAACGCACGGCGTTTCGCCTTAGCCCCAACAGTCCTCTCTCCGAGAAGTCCAGCAGCAACCTTTAACATCGAGAAATGGGGTGGCTGTTCCAGTTTTGGGGGTAGGGGGTGTTGCTAGAAGGCCGGTATTATCAATGATTCTCTTTACTGCTGCTTGGCTTTGTCCCTGTATGCACGCTAAATATGCCCGGAACCCTGAACTGGTCTTTTGCCATCTTTCGCCTGCCAAGGCACCCGAACGGACGGATTGAACACCTGCACCGCCTACACCCAAACCTTTTCTTCTCCCAAGCATAAGGGACTAGTCAGGTCCCACGGGGATTTAGCCCACCCGCTTTTTGCGGACCTTTCGGAGCGTGTGAGATTTGTGGAATGATGTATTGGCCAAAACTCTCTGTCTCTCTCTGTCTCTCGCTCCCTCTTTCTTTCGCCGGGGCTGTGGTGGGAACCCCTACATCGCGCGCTCTCTCTTCCTTCCTTCTTTCCATCGGGCGCAGGTTTGTAGCAGACCCGTGCCGGTAGGCACCCCCCACCCTCTTCGGACCATGAGGGCAAAGGCTCTGGGGTCAGTGGGCGGATTGGTTCCTAACAGCGGTTGCGAAGTGCGGTAGACTTTCTGCGGTCGTGGACCCAACCCTGACGCATCCCGGCCTCATCAGCGCGCCCTCTACGGCCTGTCCTCGGTCCCTCGACAACAGCTACCCCCCTGTAGTACTTTACGGTTGGCTGACTAATCAAACCCTCCAACTAAAACAACACTGAGTATCATGCCTGTTGCGGGGGTTCACCGTTAGCGGAGGCAACACCGGAACAGTAACACATGCAGGACACGAAAGTTGGTGGCTCCCCTGTGGGGGCCCAGTTTCCCGAGAAAACAATGTGTACCGGCTGTTTGGTCCCCCCACCTTCACTTGGTAAAGCAACTAGAGCAACACCAAACCATGCAGATCACATGTATGGGTGGGTTTCCCACTGGGCGGTTAGAGCTGTCAGCTCTTTCGGGGCTCCACCTCGTGTAAAAGAACACTGGAACAAGACACAAACCCCTACATGTCACGAGGACTGGTGGCTCCCCCTTTTTTGTAGCCTCGCCTAGCTGCGGCTCCTAAGCTTGTAAAAACTGTGCAGGGTCCCACTTCAGTCTTGGCGTGGCTCCCCCAACGGCAAGTGGTGTCTGGCTCCGCGGCCCGTCTAGTTGCAGCAACTAAGCTCGTCGTTTCGAGCTGAAATGGGGAACTCGTCGGGGAGCATGATGCAAGGTGTGGACAACAGTGCCCAGCAAGCCCAACAGAAACCACAACCAAGGGCCCATCACACTCCCCTCGAACTTTTGCTACCCCTTCACATCACGGCTCGCGCTAGTCTCTTCTCCTCCTCTCTGCTCCCAAACCCTCTGGCCAGCAGGCTGCTGGCTTCGTCCTCGTCCACCTTTTTGCGTAAGTCACACGGTCGCCCCGTGCTGGTAAGCTGTCCTGGGGTCACCTTGTACTTGTAACACGTATCCCTGCTGTCGTGGGATTTTGGAAAGGACCCTTGCAGGCATGCTTTGCAAGACACCCCCATGCCCCGAAGCTTCTCTGCGAGTTTGCGCTGCTCTTCCCATGTGGTCTTGCCCTTCGCCGGTTTGGCCGAGGGGTCACGCTGAGTCCTGGGACTTCTTTTGCCCCCTCTCTGCCACTCTGCCCTTGTTGGGGCCTGCCGAAGAACTTGCTATTGCCGAGGTCAAGGTACAGGTGGTATGAGCTGATCTCCCCCCGGTTCCGCAGCGATGTAGTATGCCTCTTCCCCCTAATTAATGGCGGGCCATCCTCTAAAGGAGGGGCCGGCGGTCAGGTTCCGAGAAGGGTGCCTCTTAAACAAACTGGCGTCGGCACAGGACTCAAGCACCTCCCGCGAGGGCACAACCTCAGGTTAACCCCGTGCCTCCCCTGCGATGCCAAGGAGGCGTAACAGGCCCCAAGACAAAGGTGCGGACACTTGAGATTCTCTCTCTATCTCTCTCTGTCCCCTTGTCTCTATCTCACGAACCAAAAAACACAAACCCCGGGAAAGACAATGCTAAACCCTCAACCCAAAGTCCTAAAGCTGTTATAAACAACGGCTGCATTGACAAGAAGACCTGCAACACTCCGAGGCCTACTGTCGATCATCCTCAGGCAGATGTAAAGCTTGCGGCTGAGTGTGTAGGGTTATCAGCCCAACTTGGTCTGAGCCTTGGGCTTCGGGCTCCCAATTCTCAACCTCACGGCGCCTGTTGGGTGTCAAGTTGGAACTCGTACATTGCCACCAAGACTTGCCATGCATTGTGTTTGTTTATTCTCATTCAGTGTTCGCTACTCAAACCATGGACGTGAGAATTTGGAGTTCGATGCTTAGGTTTCAGTTGCGGGCAGATGGTTGATCGCTACTGGTCACTAGTCTAGGATTTCGGGTTTCCGGAGCGACGGAGGTCAAGGCTTTAGACCGTGAGCTATGCGCGAGAGTACGGGAAAGCCCATCAAACAGACCCCCATGTTGCCACATCCAAGCAGCTCATTTGGCTGCAAGGTGTCGGGTGCACCTGAGCACACATCCACCGTTTATCTTGGTCCAGAAGAAACTGCACGCAAACTCATGGCCATTTCCATTTTGTCTTTTTTGGATTAGGCTTCACGCAGCTTAGGAAAGGGTCTGCAACGATGGCCTTCAGTCAATTCTAAGAAGTAGCTTCTTCGAACGTGCGGTGTGAGGTCTAGTCCAGGGCTTTCGGGAAGTCTGGGGGACCCGGAATGGTGTCCAGAGCGAGGACTTTCTGCTTCGAACTCAATCTCCAAACTTTGGTAGCCCCGCTTGAAGGCAGTTTTCGAGGTTGTCATGCTGGAACGTTTGATGGCCCGTTCCGACTTTAAAGTGTAGAGATTCGACACTTGGAAAAGAGGCTATCAAATTATGAAATGCCCGACATCAGGTGGGGCGGATGCATGCTTCTCACACTCGACTTGCACCAGGCACATGCTCATAAGAAGGTTCGTGACGATTCAAGCATTCTGAAATCCATCCTCTCATTGGGCGGTTGTAGTGCTCACGTGTCTTAAACCCGCCCCCTCATTAAACGAGGACGGCTGATTGCTCCAGACCCTCATCAGGCGATGGCGGTATTTGCCCAGTTGTGAGTGCTGAAACCCCCTCAGTTGGGCGATCCCGCCAATAGATGCATGTCACAACCGTCATAAGCCCTTCTGTGAAGGTTTTGGACGCCGTGTGTAATTATTTTCTCTCAACCCCAATCCCCATACTCAAAAGGCCCTGAACGAAACCTAGGCCCTGAACGCTTGATTAGATGATACATATGTAGAGCACGAGAAGACTTTCAATTTGCCCGCTTCCAAGCTCGAAGGTTCAACCGAACCTTTCAAATTGTCAACAAGTTTCATAATTATATACAGTTCGTGTGCCAAACTTGGAGGGTTCAACCTCTCAAGCTCCGTGTTTCGACCTTTCAATCATTCGAAGCTTGAACCATTCAATCTTCGGGGATGCAACGTTGATTTGTTCAATACTTTGCCTGAAGCTTTCAAACTCCAAGCTCCCAGACATTGAAATTTCGGCCTGCGAGGGCCACGAGAACTTACCCTTGTCCTCCACAGCCTCCGCCTCATGTCGCACCGGGTCCGTGTCGCCGCTAATTCCTCCCGAATCTCGCCATCCAGCTGGCGCCAGTACGTTCTAAGCTCTAGCTCTAATTTTCAAGTGTTCCCCTTGGAAAATTCTACTCGTGACACCTCTCCCATACACTACACCTCCATTATGTGCCATGGTGGACCCAAGCGCCGCCATACTTAATTAAACCGATCTCAACCCTGAACCACCAGCAAACAGCCAACCTAAGCTGCTCTCCTCCCATGCACGTCCTCTGAAACGGTTCAGAACCCCCCCCTTCTTGGAAATCCTCAAGCCTACGTAAAGCCTGAACACCAAACCTGTGACCTGCAGCAGCCGCAGGGCGCCTCTTCCCCGACGTCCACGAGCCTGCTTAAAGCAGGCTGGAGGGGTTTTGGGAAGGAATCAAACTCGGGTACGGTCAACGGCTTCGGGTTTTGAAGGATTGGGCTTCAGGTTTGAGTTTTGATGCAAGGTTTAGGATTTGGTTTTAGAAAGGTTTAGGATTTGGTTTTAGAAAGGAGGAGGCGCGATGCTTCCCGTGCTGCCCTAACCTTCGTCAACGGTTTGGGTCTTCCAGACTGGTACACCCGCTGTTGGCACTGTGAGTCTTATCCTGTCCGAGAGCGGGGTTCGATCCCGAACGCATGCTGAGACAATCCTGCCCCCTCTACTCCATGCCGGAGATC